TAAAGGACAGGAGGAAGTCATGAGCAGCTAGGAGCTCTCTTGTAGCACTGGCAATGGTCCTAACCTGTCCCGGAGGCTGGTGTGGCTCTGTCAGAAGCCTTCTTTGTCCTTGCAGGATGCACTGGGGTCTTCGTAACAGGACCTCCTGACACTTTTCAGAGGTGGCACTGATTGTACGCCCACTTTGCCCCTCACTCTGCCTACTCCTCTTCCTTCTCTTAGGTGCTGGTCTTGCCTCTCTGGTGCAAGAGAGAACCCAGCTCTCCTGGATTCTACCTGCATGTTCCTCCATTCTGCACTTTTAGCTCAGTGCTCACAGTCCCAGCCTCACAAGTGGTGCCTGGACCATGCTCTAAAAGGCACTTTCCTGAGGAAAGGATGGTCCATCTTCGATCAGCCAGGGCAGACTAGAGTGACACACAGCTATTCCCTGGCCCATGCCCTCCTTACCACCAAGACATGCTCGAGAAGGTCCAGGTAGCCGAGGGTGCACAGACCATGCTCTAAAAGGCATTTTCCTGAGGAAAGGATGGTCCATCTCCGATCAGCCAGGGCAGACTAGAGTGACACACAGCTATTCCTTGGCCCATGCCCTCCTTACCACCAAGACATGCTCGAGAAGGTCCAGGTAGCCGAGGGTGCACTCTGTCCCGTAGCGCAAGGCTCTGGTCCGTACCTCCTCGCTGACATCCGGGTGGAAGGATGCTTGCTGGAGATAGAAAAGCACGTTGACATCTTCAAACAGAAAGAGCCAGTGATGAGTCACCTACCCAGCAAAGCTGGACAGCTCTGGACCCAGAGGAAGGAGACCTGAACCCCAGTGGCCTCTCTGAGAAGCCTGCCACGACTCCTTGGACAGGAGAGGTGTCCCTCCTCCAGGTTCTCCTGCTGCCTTCCATCTGCTCCACAGAAGGTCCCCTGACACAGTCTGTATCTTGACTTTGTTAGTACCCTGGGGCCTGATGATACAAACGACTGAACCTGGTCCCTCTTTCCTCCCATTCCTACCCCCTTTTTTGAAATGCAAAAAATTCCACATATACTAAAAAGTCCTGGGAAGATTTGTGATTAGGGCTAACAGCAGGAGACATACTGACCCAGGGTCAGCCTGGCCTCCTTTCAGCAACATGAGGTGTCCTGAAGGCCCCTCTCTGTGCACAGGCTAATTAAGCCCAGGTTCTCACCCCTTGGCCTGACCATGTAGCAGTCACAGTGAGGTCTCTGTGAACAGAACCTCCTGGCTCCTGGGAAACTTCAGAGAGTGAGCTCCCAGCACCCTCAGAGGCACCATAACTCACTGCACAGTACGCAAACGTTGAGATAAGCACACCAGGGCATCTGGTTAACACAGCATCTTATACCATTTTCTTGTACTTGTGACCTGCCAACTTGAGTCCCTCATGATACATCATTTCAGATGGCATGCACATTCATAGGGGTGTCAGATAAAATACACCCATTTAAATTTGAATTTCAGATAAACGATGAAAAAAATTTTAGCACAAGTATGGAACACCCTACTTTTTATTTGCTAAAACTGGCAACCCTAACCACTTAGCCATTCTTCCTTCCACAACCTCACTCTGAAAAGAACTTCAGGGGCTTAGAGAATTATGCAAAATAGAAAACTACAAATAAATCACAAATCAGGACAAATACGAATCACATATTGGGATAAAAGGACAAGGCAGAAGGGGAACACTGACCAGCCTTCCTGTTTTCCCACTCAAGCCCCTCTCCCTAGGACTGGGGGATGCAGGTGGGAACACCTGTGGGCTCTCCCCTGACCTGCCCCCACCCTTGGAAGGAGTGGCCGGCATCTGTCATTAGTCCTCATAGAGGCAGGAACCAGGAGGCCAGAGCCTTGCTCTTAACACCACCCTTACGCCTCTGTGCCTCCAACTGTGAGGCACACAGCCCCGTGTCTGTTTGATGAGACACCCTCAGGGGAAGAACAGGCCATGATACTACTCAGTGCCACCTCCAGTAGGTTACATGCAGGCCCTTATTCAGGGTTGTTGGAGAGACGAGGTTAGAGGTGTTCTTGTCCACTGCTGGTGGCCCTGTAACTTGGTAGAACCCTTTGGGAAAGCAATCTGGCAACAATTAAAATGCCATACCATTAGACCCACTAATTCTACTTCTGGGAATCTTGCCTAAGGAAATAATCCAAAGCACAGGAAAAAAAAGATATGCCCAGAGATGTTTACTGCAGTAAAGTTCACGACATAAAAAAAATGCAGACTACTTAAATACCTGATAATAGGGGAAAAGATAATATACAATAACAGAGTAATTTTAGTCATTAAACAGTCAGTGATAATGACTCATAGCAACATAGAAACAGCCATATAACATTAATTATAATACTAGATATAAAATTTTACCGGACATAAACATATGCATATGAAAGTAAGCCCAGAAAGAAACACATATGAGAATTAACTTAGGGATTAGATAAGTCTCTGCCTGGGAATTAGCATGACTCTCCCATTCTGATGAGCCAGCACGCATCTGTGACTTACTGCACCTATACGTTTGCCCTGGCTACCCTGCTCAGCCCCAAAGGCAGCACTCAAACAGGGCATCTTGGCCCTTCTGCTGGGCACACAAGACTTCCTTCCTGACCCACCACGCAGCAACCCTGGTTTTCCGTGTGTGCCTTGCTACACACACATCCTTTCTTGGCAAGCTGCCTCACTGCCTTTCTGCAAAAGGGCGAGGGATACAGGAGACCAAAGGAAATGCCCATGCTAATAAGTTTGCTAAATAAGTCCTACCCCAACAGGAGTCTCAGGACTCAGCAGTGACACTTGTCATGTGTGCTTTTGGTGTGTGAGCCAACATACAGGCTTCAGACCTCTGGCTTTTACTTTGTCCTGCAAAACCAAGATGGTCTGATCCAGAGAGGAGCTGAGGCTGGGCAAACATCCACATTTTTCTACTTCACCTCCTCTCCTGAAAACTGGGGAACCCATGTTAAGAGAGACTTAAAAACCTGAGCTGCATTCCGTTTCCACCTTAATCAAGGCCTTTTTTTTCCTTTTTAACTTCCTCTTTTCATTTCATGTCTGTAACATGCGGACAAAAGTGCCTGTCGCTCACCAACCACAGAGACCTTGAGCACTATGGCTAGGAGAGGCAGACTGGCTGTGGAGTTAGAAGAGGCGTTTCAGATCGGGTTCTGATGGGAAACAGCGGTGTGACCTTGGTCATGCCACCTAATCTGAGTCCCTGTTTCATCATCTCACAAACTGGAATAATTGCTCTTGCCCTCGTCATCAAATGACATCAAATGACAGAATATATATAACAGCCCTTCCAAACCATGAGGTACTGAGAGTATACACCAAGATGCATTCGGGCCATATCTTGCCAGGTAAGTACATGGGTACTTCAAAAAGTTCATGGTAAAATGGAACTGAAAGATAATACAAATCTTTGCATGCACTTTTGAAGCACCTTTGTACTACTCTCTGATTGAGATAGTAACCCTTTTGGAAGTTACCACTTCTGGGGGCCAGATTCCATTGACCACATCAAAGTGGGAAATACTCTCGGCCTCAGGAGAGAGTACAAATTCCCTGAACCAGCACAATGGTCCTTCAGGAAAGTCACCCTCTCTCCCTACCCTCGACTTTTCGACAGACCCCCACTCCCTACCCTTCATCAGCAGATTCCATTGACCACATCAAAGTGGGAAATACTCTCGGCCTCAGGAGAGAGTACAAATTCCCTGAACCAGCACAATGGTCCTTCAGCAAAGTCACCCTCTCTCCCTACCCTCGACTTTTCGACAGACCCCCACTCCCTACCCTTCATC